ACAGGCGTGCAGGTTACTAATGCAATGTCGTGTTTTTCTTGGTTGCCTGCGCTTTTTCATCTCGGTAGCAAGTGGTGGTTGGAATTTCTTTTGTAGGAGTCAGGGTTTACGGCGGCATTTTCTGAGGGCAGTGTAATGGCGCTGGCTGCCTCCTCCATGGATGTCGCCTCGTTGGTGAGCCCTGGGGACAGTTACTAGCCCTTGAACACCTACAGATAAGCAGTGCTGTCGGTGTTGACCCTCAGTAGTCCTCCTAAGAAGTTCCTCCTGGGCATGGTCTGAAAAATTGCTAAGCAGCACTCTGGTAGAAGAACTGGCTGAAGCTTCCAGAAGCACCGAGCAGAGAAATGAGGGGCCACAGAACATTTAAACAGGGAGAACATCGTAAAAAAAAAAAAAAAACCAAAAAAACCTCTCAAAAGGACTGGAAATGGGCAGTGTGGGACTTGAAGAAAGAGGCTCCCACACAGGTTACTGAAGGAATAGTAATTAAATCTTCGGAGCTTTCTGTAAAGGCAAGAGCACAGCGAAAGGTAACAGCCTGGTGTGCTGGGGCTCTGAGGGCGTAATGGGCCTTGTCTCACATCTTCTCCTTGGCTGTGGTCAAGAGAGAGTTGACTAAAAAGTTAGGGAAATAGCGGTTGTATGTCTCCTTCATTAAAGAACTTTTTTGTTCCAGTAACTTATTACAATATTAGTAAAAGAAATAAACACCAAATTTAAGTCATGGAAAATGTTCGGACTTTGTTTTTTGTTTGTTCCCTGTCAGGTTTTAGTTTGTTACATTCAAATAGTTTGATTATGTATCTAAGTGCTGTAGAAAACCTAACTTATCTTGTATAGTACCTCCTTCTCCACCCCAGCTATAGCCTTTTGTTTTCAGAATAACGTAAAAATCATGGCATAAGCTGCTAACGAACGTTTTCCTTCAGAAGGCTCCTCCACAGACCTTCAGTCTGCTGTGACAGGGCAGAAACATTTGACTGTGATAGTCACGTGTAAGGAGGGAGAGCTGAATAATCATGAGTCAGCTTTTTTATATAGTTAAGCAACGTCCTATCTGTCAGGTGGTTGCTGCTGTTTCATCAAGGCAGTTGTACTCGGCATAGTGTTTTAGGGACATTTGAGGGGTTCTCTTGGAGATGAGCTCTTTTAATGAAATTTCTCAAAGCACATGAACTGTCTTGGTTGGGAGATGATGAACTTCAGTACGTGGCGTTCTGCAGTAGGCAATCCTGGTTTGCACCAATACTTTTCAAGCTGTGTTCACCAAATTGATTTCAGAAAAACAGCTGGATACAGATTCTTTAATTCTTCAAGTTAGGTGTCTTACTTAAATATTCAGGATTTTTTAAACCTAACTTTTTAAAATTCACTTGAAACTTCAAAAGAGCTGACCAGTTTGGGGGCAGCGAGGAGGCTTGTTTTGATGGGGGGGTGGTGGTGTTTATTTGTTTTTATTTTAACTAAGTTTTTGAAAAGTTGTGAAACTCAGTTGGTTACCTTTTGAGTAACCCTTTGTCCTTCCACCAGAATTAACTTAATGAAGTTTACTGTATGTCCTTGTCTTCTGTACTATCCTGTATGTGTATAAATTGGAATATGTCGTAATTTGAATGTGAACTAGCTAGATTGTATATCGAATTCAGAGTTTTAAGGAGTGCTGTTTTGTGAGGTTTGCATTTTATGCTAACAAACTTCAGCACACTTCTAAACTGGGCTTTCTTTCAGGTGCAGAGCTCATCTAAGTAGGCTTTCAGCTATAGTTAGGCAAAGACGACAGCTTTGTTCTTTTCACCAGTAATACTGAGTTGAATAAAGTACCAAGAGCTGAAAATATGGTGGGTATGACATTTTTCTCGCAAAAGCATGTAAACCTCCTATCTTGCTACTTGCATTTCAGATCAATTCAAATGCCTCCTTAACTGTGTCGCTAGCAGAGACTCCTTACTGCAAGAAGCACAGATACGATCCCCAGAATCCCCTCTGTGCCCACATAATCTTCTGTGGGAGTATTGTAAAGGTAAGCAGCTGAAAGTTGACACTGGACAAGATTGCGTGCATCACATAGTATTGTTTAGTGGATGGAGAAGAGAAAGGTCAGAATTTCTGTGCGAAAGTGTGTGAAGAGATGTTATGTGCCATGATACCGAAGGCTAGCTCGTAGTTTTTGTGAGGAAAATGAAGTTACCGCTTGAGATTTGCAGGAGCTCTGTTGGCATGCCTTTAGCGAGGAACTTGGGAGGACAATATTGTAATGAAGGAAGTCTTCCTCATTCCTCTAGACCTGTTTTGAAACTAAGAAGTCTGAGACAGTTCTTCTCTGAATGAAGTATGAGGGTTTTTCCATCCCTTTGGCTCAGTTAAATTCTTTGGTCTGTGCAGTGTGACACATGCGCTTTGGAAAACTTATTGGAAATAAATATTAACCTGAGCTATGAAGTTACAGGTATTAGAGACAGAAAAAGTGCTTTGTATTATCTGGTGGTGTTGCTTCCAGGGCAGTATTTTTTTCATGCACCTGTACTTTGATCTCACATAGAAGGAATTTAGAACTGCATGTGTTAATCGCTGAAGATCTTATTCCCATTATTGAGGATAATGACTGAGGATGAGGACTAACCATCATTACTCTCTCCTATATGATAGTCTAAATTCTTATTTGGTGTTTTCACACCTCAGATATTTGGATGTAACACTTCAGCAATCCTTTAATTGCTTTCATGAGTTTCTCATCAATAATGGAATTGTTTATTTTAATTAGTTCCTCTTGTACCACACCCAGAGCTCTAACTGGTTGATTTAACCCTTTGCATGTTAAACATTTGCATGTTGTATATTAAGTGCTGTCACGCATTTCAGCTTCCCTTCTCTGTAGATTCTGTTGTATCATCCTATTTGTGTGTGTGTATGCATACATCTGAACACAGTTGGTTTGGGTTTGTGTCTGAGTAAGCAGGTGCAGAGGAGGTAATTACACCCCAAACATTGCATTGTAATAATTCAGCAAGAATCCATACTTCTCTGTTTTGTGATTTGTTGAAAGATTTATTCTTATGTTGATGAAATTCTTTCTTGCTCATGCTTTAAAAGCACCCTTTTGATTTAATATTAAAATCAACTACCTTGGAGTCTTTGTCTCATGTACGGTTGTACTCTCATGGACTCTGCCACAGTAATGAGTCCTTTGAGACAAGACATGGCTAAACTAAAAAGAGCACACAGCAGTAGTTTTTTAGCTAAAATTTGTCTTCACATGACTGTATCTTACTGTAATATTTTGCTGGTTATTGTTTAGGTGAATGATTCGGAAGCAGGCTTAGCAAAAAAAGCATTATTCAGTCGCCATCCTGAAATGGAAAGTTGGCCTAAGGATCATAATTGGTTCTTTGCCAAATTCAACATCACCAATATTTGGGTCCTGGACTACTTTGGTGGATTGAAAATTGTGACGCCAGAAGAATATTACAGCGTCAAGCCTTAGTAAGTACTTAAGTTTTGCACGCTTAACTCTCATTATATTTGGAACCTGTAAAACTTCTCCTTATTGTTTGTTAACAGTCTCTGTTTTTTTTAATACACATTTATGTCTTTATTTTCCCCAAACCTGGGATGCGTGCATGTAACTTGGTGGCAAACTTCAATGCAGACTAACCAGCTAGCAGGAGGACCTCGGTCCGGTTAGGGGTGTTAGTGAGACCCATGAGTGTGGGCTGCCTGTGGGACAAGTGTGTGAGCACGCTTGTTTGCTAGCAAGCATCAAGCTAGACTAACCAGCAGGTAGCAGACCCACAGAGCAGATCAGGTGGCCCAAGATGTGGGCAGGAGTAAGGGAGAGACAGAGGGGCTGTGCTCTCCAGGTACTCAGTGGATCCATGAACGTCCTTGTGAATCTAGAGAGTCGGTTCACTCGTGAACTTCGGTCCTTACCAGACGAAGAGGAGCAAGGGGAGGTGGCTGTTTGTATTTCTGCTTTGAGTCCTGGGAGCGCTGAAGCTAGGTGCTGCTGAAGGCAGTGCCTTACCTGTTGCGGTCTGTGTAGCTGGCCACGTCAGCGTCCTCTGTACACGTGTCCGTTTCTGAGATGCACACTCAGCCTTCCTGCTGTTTGAACCTGCAAATGAAAAATCAGCAGCTACAGCCACAGGCCTAGGATGGAAACCCCGGGGTTTCTGGGCTGGGCCGGAGGAATAGCCAAGGCATGGAGCTGCTAGAGGCAGTTTATAACAACCCTTAACTGTTTATTTCTATGTAAAATCAATTCAGAAAATTGAAGCCTATGCTCAGTGTGACCTTTTCCCCTCACCCTTTAAACTACTTTACAAGTGACCGAATACTAACAGCTAGCTAATTGGTGTGTTTCTTGACAACCTGAACATAACAGATCCAAATCTAAGTATTTTCTCAATGCAGCATGATGCTCACCTTTGTCAAAGCATGGTTTCTAGGAGAGGTGTTACTGTTTCTCCTTATTTCGCAGCTGAAACCCAGAACTTCTAGGAGTGACAAACGAAAAAAAATCAACAGCATAAACCCCAGAAATTCCATTTATTTTTCTGAATACAACTCTGAGCTCTTTGAAAGATGTAGTGAATTACACAGATGTTGTCTTAAGAATTTGTGCACAGAGTCCTAACAGTTTATGCAAAAATACAGTCTGGAGACTTAAGTTATACATAAGTGACATAAACAAGGTACCAAATGCAGATGAATGGAATCAAAAGAACACCAAATCCTCACAAGAGAGAATTCTGTAAGTAGGATTGGCCAAATCGCAGAGGAGGACTTGGTACTCATTCCTAGTGAAACAACCTCACCAAGGCTGCTGATCCTGTGACAAGGGTTGATTATAACTTCTCTAGAGATTCTTGTTTCATTCCCTTCCTTTTTTGTTCTGTATGCATCTGCTGAGGACATCATCACTGTGCAATGAAGATGATCTATTACATAACAGTATCTTCTTTTCTTGCATTTCCTTCTAAGTTAATAATTTAGTGTTGTGATGTAGTGAAGAATTCTCTTAACCCTGAAGACAAGGGTGAGGACACATTGGACAACAGAGGTACAGTGTTTGTAAGGAGTCTCAGCTTGGCACAAACTTTATTTTATAATATGTTTTATAGATGTTTAGCCAAATCTTTTGATGTTTTGGAAAGCATGCCTTCTTTCAGTGCCATTCTGTACATCCTAATTCTCAAGGGAATCAATGACTATTTTTACAAAGTCAAATCCTTTGGGTATTCATTACTTTTCATAAGGGCAAATAGAGAGACAAAACCAGTTTAGAATTACTACAGTTGTATTCATTTACTGAATTGTTCTATTAATAAATACACTGATTTTTATGTAACTCAAGATTTGTTAAATACCTTGTCTACATCCTGTTCACTGTTTTCACTCCCTGTCCCACAAAACTTTCAACATTATTATTCTTTTGGTTTTGGGTCAAAAAGTGAACCAGTTAACACTTTCCTGCTATCCCAGCTAATAAAGTAATTCCTTCAACTATGCTAGTAGCTCAAAACTTACTCTCTGAAAACACAAACATCTTGCTTACTTCATCTTCTGGACTACTAGAAACACTTTCTGCATAGGTAGATGTTGGTAATTCCACTGCCAATATTACTACTGGATTTCCTGTAGCAGAACTTGGTAGTATTGAAAAAAACCTCTTCATTTTGGTACTAACTCTTCCTTCAAGGACACCAAACCCACAATTTTCCCAGTCTAAATATTTGTATGTGCTGAAACACAGCATCAGCTTTCTACTTGGTGGTTCTGCCTCATATCTCTTTGAATGTATTAACTTTTGCCTGGTCTAGATGTTATAAAAATTTACAAGCAACTAGCAGGTAACAGGCTTCTGCCCGAGAGTTCAAAAGTGCCTCTGGGAGGTACTATCTCAAGAAATTATACAAAATTCTCTTTATATAGAAGCTCCATTTCTGCACTGAGGTATTACGAGGTATATGGAAGACACTGCACAGATTAATCAAACAAGAATTCTTTATTTTGACATGTCAAGGCAGTAAAATACAAGTATACAAAAAGACTATACAAAAGTGGCAGTGATAATGCAACTTGATGCAATCCTACAGAAATCTAATCCATCAGCGTGGACTGCTTCATCAGTATACCTATCTGTAAAATATTGCACCATTTCAAAGAGGGAGCAGTCAGGAAGAAAGTGTTTGTACTCCAGGGAGGCACAACAGCCCCTAAACTGGTATCTTCAACTTCAGAGTAAGGCACCAATTGGCAAGTATGATCCTTGTTCTGTTTGTCACATCATGTGTAAGGTAAGTGCAAAATGCATGTTAATGCTGCACCTTTGTCAGCTGGAGGAAACACAGCCTTCATTTTCCTAGGCAGAACAATAAAAAAAAGCACAGGCCTAGTTTTCCAGCCTCCCTCCATATCCCTTTGTGCTTCCTATTCATAATTCTATCCTGAAAAAAAATTTTTAAAAGCCATGCTTACATAAAAAGAGTAAGCCAGGAACTTACTGCTACAAAAATGGAGAAGATCGAGACTCAAGTGAACAGACTGTAGTCCATATGTAACCAAGAGATGAATTACAGCATGAAGAGACAGTGTAGGAAATTTCCAAAAGAAGTGATGGATTATGCCACAACATTTCTTATTGACGAGTTGAAGCGACACTTTGCAAACAGTATTAGCTACACAAACAGATTTACATGATCATGGCTGAAGAAAGAAAACTTGTATCACAGGGTAATAATGTGAAACTCTTCCCTTTCATTTAAAGAGGAAGCAAACTGCAGTGATAAAATAATCCAAGCACCACACTTAGACTGTAAAGAGCTGCCTTGAATATTTTTGTTAATTAAACAAAAGACAAGAGAGACTTTTGTACAAGGCTGTAGGGTTTCAGGGATTCAGTTGTACAGTGCAATTTATAGACTCCTGAGAAGTTGGTGGATTGAATGCTATGCCAGTTGTGACACACAGGTACTATGGCAAACAGATTCCTCAAAAGTAATATTCCATGCCAGTTGTTCACTCTTAGGACTAAGGGGAACTAATCTAGAATTTCTAGATTCAAAACTATTTCTGCGGCAGTTATGGAGGCTTACTTGTATGAGAAATCCTGGATCTCTATTTGTTTTGTTGATAACCTGGCATGTCTTGTAGTTCTCTTGATAACTTGGCTACAGAAGGAATGTGCAAAAATAGACTTTGAAGTGATCAAGATGGATAGGAAAGTGTCAGGTACTGAACACAGTAACTTCCCATTTTAGAGAGGGGAAGGATTGTCCTTCATAAAGGAACCCTCTTCTAATGTGCACAGCACCTGACTGTCCTGCATGAAGAACCAGGCAGAAAGTATTTTAAAATGTTAAAATACAAGCATAAGATAAGTAGCATTTTATGAATAATTTTCCTTTTAGAAAAGCTTAGCTTTTAAAAAAATTGTATGAATAGTCTGTTTCCTTTTTCACATTCGCTTTGCTTACAAGTGTCCTCATGTCTCCTTCCAAAGGATGTTCCCACTTCTTCCCAGTTCCAGTGCTGATCCTCTTTCCATCAATTTCTATACATGTGGAATAAGTCAGGATATTAGAATTTTAAACCCTGAACTGAATCAGACTACAAAGAGAGTTGTCAGATTATTTTAGAAAAAAGACATCAAGAATTGGACTGGCCAGATATAAACAAGCATTCGTTGCTTGTGCATCTGATGTCACAGCCCGTAAGAATGAAACTTAGATATCCATACTCAAAGTTCAGCTTTGGCAGTATCTCTCTTCCAACAGAGCTGGCAGGGTTATTTCCCTGACAGATAGCCAGGAAACAGGTAAAGGTCCCGACAGAGTGTGCTACAGTATTCTGACATTTCCTTGCAGCGGTGAAATTCTGTGCCTGGGGCATAACCTTCTCGTTGCTTGATTTGCCTATTCACCTAGATGCGAGATTAAAAAAAAAAAAAGTGACTGGAAGGATTAAGACAACAGAAGGAAGAAAAATGTAATTGCTTTCTGTATGCATAGATTATTCTGTTTAACTTATTAAGTAGTCCCCTGCACATTGTCTTTCTAAATTATAAGAAGGATAAAGAACTAAGGTGCAGTTCCAGATAGCTCAAGTTGCTGAGGTCACACTGCTGTCTTCACTCCCTCTTCCTCCATTTTCTTCATCACCTTGTGTGAGTGCAAGTGCTTGTGCAGAAGAAAAGTAAATCTTGGCAAGCTAGATTAATTCTTCTTGTAAGTTCACCATGCGACCACACAAGTCAAATGGTAGGAGTCAAAGAAACAGCATTTTTACTTTAGTTAAAGTGCTATGGAACTGTATATAAATATATATATAAAACGGAAACAAGTCGTAATTTTGCTACAAACAAGGCAAGAACAATTGCTTTAATAGCAGATTAATCCTAGCAATTTGAAGCAGTGGAAGGCTCTCGAGAAACCAGGTAAATGTGGGAGAGGAAAGACACTCCAGCTCACCTTCACCAACATG